AGAGAGGGCTGTGAAAACAACAGCAGTAGTAGGAAGTGTGGAGGGAAAGCAGGAGAATCTGTAGCTATGAACCCTGTCAGCCTTGTCTTTGGAAATGGAATTTGCCCCTTTGAATCATTTCTAAGGAGCAGTGGCTGTTCAGACAGAAATGCCACACTGGATTCCCTCTGTGTGTCTGGTTTACACCATGCAAACTGGTTTATAAGAATCCTTTCTCCTGCTCAGTGGGGCTCTGAGCAGCCCTGATATTTGTTTAGCTTATCTTTAAATTGCCAGATTAAGATGCAGGAACTGGATTTGGTTAACTGTTTGGATGCTGTGCTGGACAGGACAGCCTCCAGCTCTTTAAGCTACAAGAAGCCTGGCTGTGCTCAGAGGAGTTAAAAAGGGTCCTGCTGCACAGGGGACCACTTGAGAAATTTTACCATCACCTAAAATTTTGTTTTTGTTCAGATGCAGAAGAGGAACTAACGTGACAGTTTAGATGGTGTTGAGAAGAACAAGGAGCCACCACCTACATCCCTGCTAATGTATCATCAGGAATAGTGTGGCAGCAGGACAAGGGCAGTGCCTGTCTCCCTGTGCTGGCACTGCTGAGGCCCCACCTTGAATCCTGGGGATAGTTCTGGGCCCCTCAAAACAAGAGAGACATTGAGGGGCTGGAGCAGGTCCAGAGAGGGAATGGAGCTGGGGAAGGGGCTGGAGCACCGGGAGATGTTGAGGGAGCTGGAGGGGCTCAGCCTGGAGAAAAGGAGACTCAGGGGAGACCTTATGGTTCTGCAGCTCCCTGACAGGAGGGGAGAGCCAGGGAGGTGTTGGGGTCTGCTCCCAGAAAACAAGGGACAGGACAAGAGCAAACAGCCTCAAGTTGTGCCAGGGGAGGTTTAGTTTGGATACTGGGGGAATTTCTTCACTGACAGGGTGGTCAGGCCCTGGCACAGCTGCCCAGGGCAGAGGTGGAGTCCCTATCCCACGAGGGATTCAAAAGCCATGTGAATATGGCACCTGGGGACATGGGTTAGTGGTGGCCATGGCAGTGCTGGGTTCGTAGTTGGCCTCGAGGATCTTTGAGGGCTTTTCCGACCTAAGCAATCCTGTCATTCTAACACAGACTGAAGGAATTTCAACCTTTGGTGATTCCTAAGCAGCACAGCAGGTGAGTGTGGTATCCTGCAAGCTGCTCACCTGTTAAAGTGCCTAAAAATAGCAGCTGTTGATACAGCTGGATGCTGGTTTGTAACCTTTGCTCAGTGAGAAGCAGAGCATGCTTGGTTGTGAGATGGCCATAAACTGACACATCTTTAACCTCCCCATCCTGGGAATCCTCCAGGAATTCCAGCAGCCCTTGAGGTGCTAATTTTTTTGCCATGAGAGATCTGTGATTAAAATATCAAATAAGATTTCTGTTCCTGGAGTGCACACCTGCCCTGTGTCCCTGTGCCCATCAGACACAGTGAGAGGTGGTGATGGTCCAGGGATGCAAGAAGGAGCAGTAGCAGCAGGATAAGGAGGGTGCTTTGGCCCAAATCTCACACACTTTATCACACTGTTTTGTCTAAGCTTCATCACTGCACACACCAGCAGGCTCTGGGTCCTCACCTCAGGCTCAGTTTTCCCTTTTGTTCTGCAAAGACCTGCAGGGAGGGCTGGTGTGAGGATTATAAGCCCAGCTAACTGAGCAGATCCTAGTGGGAAAGGGGGATGTACTGAAGTGCTGATAGGAACACAGGTGGAAGCTGATCTTCTGCGATGACTCTGTGTCTGAAAGGGCAACAGAGGCTCTTTGGTGAAAAAAGCAGTGAAAAGGATGAGTTGTTCCAAACATGATGGCAAAAGGTAGGTGTAGGAAGCTCATTAGAACCTGGGTTTTCACTTTCTGCACAACCTCAAAACATGCTGTGCAAGCAGAGGAGGCTTGTATGGATCTTGCATCAGAACTGCAGCACTGTTTGTGGTGGTGAAGCTGCAGTTGTGCTCTTCCAGCTCCTGGTCTCTCCCAGCTCCCGTGGTCTCCACTTGGACATTACATTACTCATCCTCACACGTGTTGTATCACCAAGCAGTTTCCATCTGGCCTGTGCTCTTCCTGCAGCCAGAGTGTTCCTGGTGTCTGCAGCGTATTGTGGTGAACCCAGAGAATGCAGCATGTGGGAATGGTGCTGGGAAGAGCCCAGAATGGGCTAGTTGTGTCCTTCAGCGTTTGCTCTACCAGGAAGGGAATTAGGGATCTCCAACCTGGAGGAATCTCATGGAGCTTGTTTCATGTCCTGGCTTGTAAAGCAGTGCTGAACCCTGCCTGGTGTAGAAAACGGATCGATTGGGTTTGGTTTGTACTGGGACCTTATTAACTGCTGCCTGACTCCTTTCCTTGTGGTTGGTTTTTGAGGTTTTGGGGGATTTTTTTTGTCCATTTTTCTGCAAATTAAACCTTGTGTGCTGACAAACTTGGTGATAAACAGCGTGGCCTCCTCTCCTGGTCTGCCCAGGCTCATCAGCTGCGGAGTCAAACCTATATCCTCCAGGGCAGAAGATGGAAAATATTTACAGGCAGTGAAACCAGTTTGAAAGGACATTCCAGAGACCTCGTGCTTTTAAACTTGGACAGAATCCCTCTCACGTCTGGCTTGGGACCTTGCAACTGGACTGGCCATAAAGTGGTTCACGGGGCCAGACTGAAAACAAAGTTTTCTCTCGTCCAGACTTCCTGCTGAGACCATCGAGAGTGTCTTGGGCAGGCTCCAGGTCTGTGATTTATGGACAAACCACAAGCCAGGAATCTGCAATCTAAGCTCCTTGAGCAGCAACTGCTAAAAACATTATGGGAAGAAATGGCCACTGTTTCCAAAAGAAGAAGACTTGGGAGCCATTAATAATATTTAGCACTTCTGTGGTCCCTCACAACTGTTGATTAATCCTCCTGCTCTCCCTGTGAAGTGAGTCAGAATTATTCTTACTGTACAAATAAGGTCTGCATGGAGCTGAAATAAATTTCCTTTAAGAGACACAGTGAATCTGCATTAAGGAGACAGTCCAAGACTCCAGAATCCCAGCACAAACTGAAACAGAGGCATAAAGACAAGTACCTGCTGGGTTTGGATGAGGCAGTAAACATAAACTTAGAGCACCTTTGAGGGACTCTCTGCCTTTCATCAGAAGATTCTTACCCAGGCAGTTCTGGGTCTGCCCAAATCTTATCCCTAGGTATAAAAATTCCTGGGATTTCAGAGAATCCCTGGAAGTTTGGCTGCTTACTGGAATTATCCTGTACAAAGTCCTTTCCAGCTGTTTGTCTCCCTTATTGTTTGGGAAGAAGAGGATGGCATTCTAAATCTATCTTGCCATGTGCCCAGAACTGCTCACCTCCTGATGCTTCTGGAGTGGGTTAAACATGGGGTTTCCTTTTCTTTCATCAGCATGAAGCTTTTCTCCCAGGAAAAATAAAAAGTCATTTATTCTCCACCTGCTCCCAGAACCATCTTTTGTTTCTCCTTCACCTCCCCCTTTACACTTCACCTCCCTCTTCTCTGGGACATTTTGTGGCCAATGCTGTGATTCAACACAGCCCAGGCCAGGAGGGAAGTTTCTTTGCCTGGACACTCATTTTCCCATTCTCCCAGAACAGAAAGGTGCTCCTTGTTGCTGGAGCTCCTTCTAGCAAGAATTCCATCTCAAATCACAAGGTCCTTCCCATTGCACTCCTCCTGGAATCAGTCTGGCATGTGAACAGGTGGGAATGGGTGAAGTCTGCCATAAGTCCTGGCTGAAATGGAAGAGCTGGCAGGAGCACAAGGACCAAAAGCTTCGGTAAGTAAATCTGTAAGGACTCCTGATGGTCTCATTGTTAATCTATTCACAGCAGCAGGAAGGATGAAAAATTGGGGAAAAAAGCAGAGTTTGCCCTGCTTCTTAAATGTGAGTGGCAAATGGTGTTGCAATGAATTGTCTGTTAAACATCCATCCAACGTTATTCCAAATGTCACGACATGACCTGTTAACAAAGCAGTCTGAGGAGCCAAGCAAAGCTGGTTCTCCTTTTGCAACCCAAGTAAACAAGAGGTAACTGGGTCTAAAACCCAGACCAGAAGTAAATCAGCAAGTCAATCCTTCATGGAACTGTCCCACATTAAATCCTTAGAAAATCAAGAAGTTGGAGCTGTGTCAGGAGACAGAGGGAGATTCAACTGGAGTTTTGTCTCACTGATGCATCTTGATCACTGGACCTGTTCTGTCTCAAGTGGTTTAGCAGATACTTTAAAAAACAAGTGTTCAAAGCTACCTTGCAGCGTGCTGCAAGAAATCAAAGGACAGGGATTAGGTTTTTCAGTTGGGGAATTGTATTTTTACTGTGTTTAGAGATTCTTCAATGCCCACTGTCCTTACTGAATGATGCTGATTCTCCTTGGAAATGAGAATTCACTTCACTGCCCAGGAGAACAAGATGAATTTTGGTTTATACCACTCGAACTTGTGCCCTGTGACTTACTGAATGGGCACATGCTTATAAGAGGAGATGAATATAGTGGCCTGTACCATCCCAAAATTCCTACTTTACACTAAAGCACTTTTCAGGAAAATGCTGCCTTCTTGCTTGTTTGGCTCTTTCAAGACACTGTTCTGAGTATTGTGCTGAGCTCTGTCATCCAGCATGGCCAAAGTCCATGAGAAGGAAATTAAGACAATAAATTAATGCAAACCCAAACTCTCCTCACTGGGAATGGCCTCTGTGGCTGCTTCTCTGATCACTGCTGACCTGGATTGATCAATTTATATGGAAAAGCTGGAGCTGCCAAAGAGCCACCAGTACTACAAGTCCTAACAGAGACCAGGGGGTCTGCCCTGAGACAGAGCAAAGAGAAAGTGAAACACAAATGTTGAGCAATGCTGACTGCAGCACACTGGGGATAAATATGAACATTATACAGAACACATAATTTGTGTATTCATAGATCTGCAGATAATCACATTTACTGTAAATCCCATGGCATGGTGAATCCAAGCAGTTACTTTAAAAACCTTTTAATGTCACCTAATTGTGTTCACAAGTTCCATAATCGTTGTTTTCTGCAGAGACAACCCAAAACCACAGCGTGACAGTAAATTTCCTGCCTCTCACAGCGTGGATCCCAAGTGTTGCTGCTTCAGGGACCTGCCTGCACCCACACAGTTGTAATTCAGGGTGAGTACGCTTTAAATTAAGCCAAGATGTTCCTGCTGGAGTCTGAAGCACTGGGGCCCTGAGCCATATCAGACACAGAGCAGTTCCCTGCTGGGGAGGGAACGAGAATTAGTCAAAAATTGCTTGTGGAAGTCCAGTAGGTCTACGTGGAGAGCCAGACAGTCTGCCTCTGATCAGCTGCCTGATTTTGGGAGGGCTGCTTCTCCTCTCTGTGCCTGTCACTGTGGCTGTGTCCTCTGATGTCGGGAGCAAAGAGTGACTGGAAAACCACACCCTTGTTGTCTTCAGGAATGGTCAGAGGCCTTGAAATGCCCTGTGAAAGAGATACCTGTTTGGCAGCCAGGGTGAACCAGTAAGTGTTGGTGCTTTTGGATCCACCTTCATTGGGAATGCCACAATTCCTCTGGCTTTTGAGTGCTTCTGAGTTCAGTTTAGGGCCTTGTGCAGCCAGATGCTCCTGTGCCTGGGCTTAGTCGTGTCTCAGTACGTAACTGGAGTATTTTCACTCTGTTTGTGCAATGAGCACTTGCAAGTCCTTGCAGGATTTTCTTCAGAGGGTTCCTAATTCCCATCAGTGCAGCAACTTGAGAAAGAACTTGAATAAACCAGCAGAAGTGTTGAAAGACACAAACCAAAGGATTTCTTCACATCAGTTTCGAGTTCTTGTACTGACTGGGGTAAATCTCCTGATGGAATTCCCTGCAGAAAACACACCCCTCAGTCCTGCCAAAACAACCATTTTTTTTTTGCTTAAAATTCAAGGGTTTCCAGCTAAAATTGTTTGAATGGGTTAAAAATTAAATTTCTTTGCTGGAAGTGAAAACTCACAAGTGCCTCAGGAGCTTGGAAACCTTATAGTAAAAAAAAATTATCTACAACTTTTAAAATGAATGAACAGGCAATGTTTCAAAAAAAGTGTGTCTGTTTCTTTCGGTAATGTTAAATTACAGACAGAGATATAACTATGGGAAAATGTTTATGTGTAAAGGAGACATTCTATTGCTCACCATTAGAACTGATTTGTAGTTGTTAGTGAAGTGTCTGCCTTGATGTTTATGAAGCTCTGGTGTGTTCCATGTGCCACTAAACCTCTTCCCTCTGCTGCATGTTGGCCTGTTGAGAAGTGTTGCCCAGGAGGGATTTTGGTTCTTGCCACAGCTAGACCAAGCATTGGGAAAGAAATTCGGATTTCAACACAAATCACACATTCAGAATGCAAATCCAGTGTATGAACACCCCAACCCCCACTGCACCTCAGGTGATTTTATACCTGCAGACCTTTGGCCACAATTAACTGAGGATCTGGAGGAAGTTATTGTTGATCCTGATCCAAGGTAAGACTCAGTATGAGGACTTTGAGCCAGAGCTGAACGTAGTGGGAAAAAGGCTCAAGTTTTCCTGTCCAACTCCAGGGATTTAAGCACAAAATAAAAAGGCAATGGTCATTCTTTTGACAGATAAGCTTGGGAAAAGCTTGAGCTACATGACTGCTCACCTTGAAATTTCAGTATTTCCGTAAATTTCCGTATGAGCAGCACAATAGCCATTATAACCCCAAAACATCGCAGTTGTAACGGGCTGCAGCTGCATAGGTGTGCCTGACGTTTTACATGTAAAGACTTCATATATTAGAATTCTTTAAAAACACGAACAAGGAATACTACGCCATGTACTTTCCCCTTTCGCCAGTGTTCATCCCGGACTGGCCATTCACCTCGGTGACAGCCGGAGCCGAGGCCCTAACCAGCCGCCCCCTGGTTTGACAGGACATCCCCGCCCTAGGCCGGGGCCGTGAGGCGGCCGGGCCGCCGCCGCCGCTTTCCGCGGCGCGCGGCTGCCCCCGGTGGCCGCCGGGCCTGGTTCGCCTCAGCAGGCGCCGGGCCTTTCTCCCGGAGGGCGAGAGCGGGATGGGGACGGGACGGGAGGAGCCACCGCCGGCCTCGTGAGGGGAACGAGAAGAGGGGAGCGGGAAGAGAGCAGCGTGTGGGGAGGGGGAGGCGGTCTCCATGGCAACCGCTGGCGGGAAGCCCGTGCGCACGCGCGGGCAGGGTGAGGCCCTGTCAGCGCCCCTCCGGCCGAGCCTGCGCATGCGCGCCTCGTGCGCGGCGGGACTACCGACACGGTTGGCGCCCCCGCGCATGCGCTCCGGCAGCGCACCGGGGGCTCCCCGGGCCCTGGCGGTAGGGTGCGGGGAGGGCCGGCAGCCCCAGGGCGAGGCGGACAGGTCGGTCGGCTGCGGGGAGGGACGGAAAGGGACGGGACGGGACGGGACGGGCGGGCGAGGAGCGCTCAGAGCGGAGCGCGGGCGGGTGGGGTGACGTCATGACGCCGGCGCCGTCAGCGGGGCGTGGCGCCACCTGGCGGCGGGGAGGCGGCGCCGCGGGACTGGCATGGCCCTGGGGTGACGTCAGCCGTGTGACGTCAACTGCATGACGTCATCTGTGTGGCGTCACCCCGTGCTGGTTCAGGGGGATGACGAGCCCGGACCTTGGGAGGAAGCTCCGTACCAGGTGTTGACGTGGCACTGAAGGCCAAAATTCAGGGATAGAGCAGAGGCAGAGCCGTTAAGCACAAGGAGACCTGCGTGTCAGGGGATGCCAGCGGACACTGGCAGCTGGCAGGGTTCACTGAGAGCGTAGTTTAACGTGTCCAACCTCGAAGCAAATTTCTTTCAAGCAGTGTTACCAGGGAAAGCAGTTCTGGGGGTCTGAAGCAACATGGAATTTCATCTTTTGCTTCCAGGCTCAGGGACACAAGGAACTGCGTATCCAGAAGGCTGGAGAGGGACTTTGGACAAGGGCCTGGAGTGACAGGACAAGGGGCAATGGCTTCACACTGACAGAGGGCAGGGTTAGATGGGATATTGGGAAGGAATTCTTCCCTGTGAGGGTGGGGAGGCCCTGGCACAGGTTGCCCAGAGAAGCTGTGTCTTCCTGTGGCATCCCTACAAGTGTCCAAGGCCAGGTTGGACGGGGCTTGGAGCAACCTGGGACAGTGGAAGGTGTCCCTGCCCATGGCAGGGGTTGAAATGAGATGATTTCAAGGTCCCTTCCACCCCAAACCATTTTATGGTATTGTGATATGGGCCTACCTTGAAGAGAGACAGTTTCAGCTACTTTCCTGACAATACTTTGTCCCTGACTCTGCAGACACACAAGGTACTCCTTTTCACCCTTCTGGTTTTAAATAAAGCTCTAATTACAGCCGAGCAAAACCATTTATCATTTTTACTGCCCAGTGTGACTCCAGTAAAGCCCAAAGCTCAGTCCATTGTCTCTGTATAAACTCTCAAAAATCACAGACTGGGTACAGCCCTTTTTGATGACAGAAAAGACCCTTGTGTGGTTGGCTTTTGTATCTGCTTAAAATCCTCTTCTTCATCTCCCTCCTGGTCCCTCCTCTCCCCTTAGATTTTGGTGTTTGGATTAAAACAGCTTTCTGGGTACCAGTGTCAGAGGCAGACTGGAAACAGAAAGTGAAAGAATTGTTGCTATCAGCTTTGCATTTGGAAACTTTGGGCCTTGAGTTCTTTTGAGCCTTTGCTTTTCCCACCGGGTCAATTTTAATTACATGTTTTTTTCAAAGAAACTGTCAAACAGTACAAAATAGGAATTTAAATGGGATGTTTGAGATTACTGTGTGCTGTTGAGGCTCAGACTGTGCTTTGGGTCCTTGGCTGTGGACAAGGCTCTTGCCCAGAGTTTCTAGAAGGAATTTTCTTGAAAGCCAAACACAGAGGAACTGCCATGGTGGTCTGAGAGCTGATCCCCTGCTGTTACTGGAGCAGTATTTACACATTCCTGAGATCACTGGGGTGATGCCAGAGCTTCCCAGATCACTCACATCAAGGTAGCCTCATGTCTGGATATGGAGAAGGTGAAGGAACTAAGTGAATAAAAGGAGAAGGTGTAAAATTGTATTTTCACAAGACTAAACCAAGCCTGTTTGTGATGGACACCAGAGGATGGAGAACAGGAATGAGAGCATAGAGACATCATAAAGCTACACATGCATGAAGCAGAGTGTTGTGTGGTTCACTGTGGCTTTTATATGTGATTTGAGATGAGGAGAGAGCAAGTAAGTCATTGGTATAAATTAATTAAATATTATTCTAAAAGATACTTCATTAGATCATGTGTAGAAATCTGTGATGAGTTTGGTCATGTTTTTAAAGTGAGCATCTTCCTATTTTAGCAAATAGGGAAATCAAGATACTGTGTTAAAGTTCACTTTATATTTGGCTCTCGTGACAATAAGCTTTGACATTTTCCTGCTACAGACATCCATATCATGGATTGCTCCATTCTTGATCTGAAAAAATGAGAGAATTGATTGACATGGTCACAATTATCAGTGTTGGAGTGGAGTCAGACACCTGGGACAAGTCCACAATGTGGTTGGTCTGGAAAAATGATGGGCTGTCCAAGAGTTCCCTTCTCTGGATCATCAGACAGCTCAAACCTGGTGGTTGGTGTCTCTTCCAACTCATTTCCTAATCTAAAATACAGAAAAACAGGACAGGCAGAGAGTTAATCTCTGTGGGATGGTAATAGAAACACACATACTCAATGACAGCTGTTTGCAGCTGCATTTTAATAATTTTAAATGCGTTTTATTGATTTTGTGGGATTTTAATTAATCATTTTGTCCCTTGATACTTCTTTAATGGTTTACAGAAGAATTACTCCCCTGATAACACAGAGCTCCCATTAAGAAGGTATTAGCTGAGTGTAGGAGCTCTGGGTTTTCATAAACTGTCTTGGCTGGTCTTAATTTTATTATCCATCTTTATTCATCAATTCCCACCTAAGCCATTTCTTTAACAACCTGGCATAGAGCTCTGTGTGCAAGATGAGTGTTTACTTCCCTAATTGTCCTTTTTGAAAAATCACAGTGACTTCTGCTTGCAAATGATCCAATTCCTGTGTCAGAAACACCTTCAGCATCTGCTTTTTGGTGTGTTTTGGATTGCTCCTAGAAAGGGCTGTTTGCAGCAACACCAGGGGATGCATATTATAGGAATATTCACAGGATTAACAGTTCCACAGTTTGATTTAGTGGCCCTGATACGTTTTTCTTTGGGATTTTGACGGACATCAGAAAGATCTTTTTTGAAAGTCCTTAACTTTTCTGGCCAGGTAATTTTACCTCCTGGCTTTAATACACTTGATTGATTATATTCATTGTTTATTTTCATTGTTTTTAATCAGTGCAATCCAATTCCATCACCATGATTGAATTTTACATCTTTCTTTTTATTATTACTCTGATTCCTTTTCTTCCTCTGAAAACCAGGTTAGTTTTTAATAAGTATTATTCTCTTCCTTTATTTTTGGGGGCCTCTACCGAAATGTTTTTATCGGGTCCTTAATCTCAATTCTATTTTTTTTTGGTTAAAATTAATAACTTGTTGTTTTCAGTCAAATCAATTTGGTTTTTGCATCACCAGCTGCCCCTCTGGGTGATTTGGGTGCTGCTGTGTTTGCATACAACCAGGAGCGTTGGCACCTGAGCGACCGTTAGTGTTTATTTTTATATTCAATTCACTTCCCCTTTGTTCTTCCAGGGGAGGTGTAAAGTGAATTTCCCATTTTGGGGACATGCTGGCAGAGGGACATTTCGTTGTGTAAGTAGTGATTTAAATTCACGTCTGGGATGTGACAGATTTCACAGTGACAGTGAAATGCTTTTGTACAAGGTGCTGGCAGGGGGAGGTGTAACCTCGAGCAGGAATGTGAGCGTGGCACTGATGGGATAACAGGTATGGAAGTGGGTGGTGCCAGGTAGGCAGAGATCCTGGTCATTGCTGAAATTGCTCCTTGGAATCTGATTATGATATTCCTACCTGTCATTTCCTTGCTTGTAGAGACTTGAGTTAATTTCTGATTCCCTGTTTTCCACATCTGGTTTTGTTATCCTGTTCTGGCACAGGAAAGCTGGCAGAGATCTGGACAAGAGGGTTGTACCTGACTCTGGATTCCTGTTTTGCGCTTATATTTGTTCTCTCATAGAACAAGCTCTGCTGTCCTCAGTGTTAATTTATTTGCACTTCCACAACCACAGAGACCCTGCACTGTACAGATGCAGTGTCGTGTCTTTAGAAAGTCGTGATAAAGGTGTTGGTTAATGCAGAAAACAGGCTCTACTGAAGAGTCCCTAAAAGGGTGGAGGATAATGTGCTTTTTCAGAAGTTACACTGTTGACATGCCAGTTCTTCTCCATCAGTAACCTGTAGGAAGACTTTTGTTACAGGATTTGGTCTGGAAGAATCTCCAGGGACCTCCTTCTGGTGTGGTTGCCAGAGCAAACACTGCAGAAATTCTTTCCCTGTGCTGTTTTTTGTCTGGCTTGATTGGAAGTTTTGCACCAGCCTTCAGATCTTTGGGCTGCAGCTTCCACAAAAGGAGAAGGGGGGGATAAAGCTTCCAGTGCCAACCCAGCATGGTGCATCCTATCATTCTGCTGCTGTCAGCACTCCCTAATTAGCAGCCTGGGGTCGTACAGGCTGTGGCAATTGGGTAATTTCTGAAGGCTGAGGTGATATCAGTCACTTTGATCCCATTCCTTGACTCTGCATCCAGTCCTGGCCAGCTTTTCAGGACTGGTAGGACCACTCCTATGTTGATTTGCTGGTGTGGAAGCAGGAGAAGGTGGTCCTGATGAGCAGAGTGCCACCCTTCCTGCAGCAGCCCACTGTGCCTGGCACACAGGGATAGCCCACTCTGTGCTTCCTGCCTGCTGGAGCTGGAAACCTGCAGACTCAGCACCCAGCTGGGAATGAATCCAGCTGGGCTGTTTCACTGGTGGAGCTGGGAGAGGGTCTGACTGCAGGACAGGGCAGTTTGTACTCTCACCACAGGGAAATGGTATGTATGGAAATCATGGAATCACAAACTGGTTTGGGTTGGAAGGGATGTTAAAGCCCATCTCATTCCAGCCCCTGCCATGGGAGGGACACCTTCCACTGGCCCAGGTTGCTCCAAGCCCCATCCAGCCTGGCCTTGGACAC